TGCATATAGTTTAAGGCCTTATGTAAAATCCCCTTCATAAGCCCACCTTAAACCACATAATTGCATGACACATTGAACCAGAACGGCACAGGCTGGACGTCGCTGGAGACAACCTTCGCTGGAGGCGACCTGCAATCCTGACGTTGGTCTCCACTCTTCATCCAGTGGCCGCATCTTCAGTTCAACCCAAGGGTACCCCTCTGTATGCTGATTAATCAACACTTCCAATCGTTGTGGATTTACCGTTGTGGATTATATGACTTTTTCCAATGGATTACAGACTCTGTTTCCAAGGGGTTAAAGCATTGCTACAATGGAATTACCAACAACATTATGGAATTATAATCAACGCAATGGAATTACCAAGAACATTGTGGAATTACCTTGACTTTGTTTTCCTTGCTGGATTACTTCTGACTTTGGTCTTCCTTGCTGGATTACTTTTGACTTTGGTCTTCCTTGCTGGATTACATCAAGCTCAAGGACATTTGAAGGTCTAAGTTCACGGTTGGAATTCATCCCCATGGACAGGCGATGATTTCCAAAGGGGGGACTGTAGTGAACCTGATCTTATGTCAAAACTGACCAGATGGACAGAGACTGTTATTTCATTGATCTGCATCCAGAAATACAGTTTGAACCATCTGGAGACTTTCTTTCTTGAAGTAATCAAGTAGAAAAGACAATTCTCTATGATCATTACTATTTTACAAATGTTTGATAATCAAATTGTGTTAGTTCACTCAATGTTTACAGGTTGAAGAGAACTACTCATTTTTATTTACATAAACAGTAAGTAATGATTTTTATTCCTCATTCAAAGAAGAAATCAGGGTAATATGCATTTCTTGATTTTTCTGTCTTCAATGAGCAAATTTGTAAGTATGTTAAAAGTCGAGTTTCGGTCAACTAAAATGTTTACTGAGAAGAAATGTCATGTTTAATCTTTACAACAGATAATCAGAGTAGAGGCTCCACGAAGTCTGGTTTTCTCCAATAATCTTTCTGTCTGTTTTTAAACAATCTCATTCTCTGCCCTTGACTTTGATAACACCTTACATCACAAACCACACCTCTGATCTGGTCTATCCACCAATCAGAAAGCTCTAAAAAGACCCGGAAGTCAACTCATTTAAATGTGGCAACTTCCCGGTTCTCGCCAGAGAGTAACAGAGTTAAAGAGTGAAAGAGAAAAAGAGTTGCAGTTCTCCTGGAGAAGAGAGATGAAAAACTCTCTGATGCAGTTCTTGGAGAAGAGTTCCAGAGTTTAACTCTCTGAAGAGAGTTCTGAAGGAGTTCAGAATTCTGACATTCCAGGATGCAGAGAGGATTTTGGGAGTATAACTTCTGTTTGGATAACCTCGCACGACTCTCTAAGGGTTTGGCTGTCCTCATGGAGACGCTGAAAGAGTCAGAAAGGAACCCTACGCCGACGCTGATTTTATCATCAACCAGGTAGAAGGTTCTATTTTCGACCAAGTGTACCGTGGCCAAGCTGATTCCCCAAAGAGCGTGCACGTTTCTGGTCAAACAGATTAATTCCCTCACACATCTCTCTGTAAGATAAATCTCCATTTTCCATCTTAAACTCTCCTTTCTCCTAAAATCATTACAGATATTTTAGAAATATCTGAAGCAAAGTTCTCAATCACCGCCGTGTGATTGATGTCTACTGTTCTGCTGAAAGTGAGAACAATCGCCGTATTGTTCCAACTTTCTGTGAACTTGCCATTGTTATTGTTTTCATATTTTGCCAAATTAATGTAAATGTTTGATGTTAAACTTTGATTCTGCAAATAAATGACCGCATTCATTTGATGGGTCAAAGATAATTAACGTCTCTCTCGTTACATTTCTGTTAAACTCAACGCACGACATTTACACAGTCAGAAAGATGAAGAACTCGTGAAAAATGTATGAATATGTCCAGCATATGTCATACTACAGATAGGTGCAGCGTCTGCAGTGAAGCGGGCGCTGTACAGGTCTGTCGTGGTGAAGAGAGAGCTGAGTCAAAAGGCGAAGCTCTCAATTTACCGATCGATCTACGTTCCCACCCTCATCTATGGTCACGAGCTTTGGGTTGTGACCGAAAGAATGAGATCTCGGATACAAGCGGCCGAAATGAGTTTTCTCCGCAGGGTGTCTGGGCTCTCCCTTAGAGACAGGGTGAGAAGCTCGATCATCCGGGAGGGACTCGGAGTAGAGCCGCTGCTTCTCCACGTCGAGAGGAGCCAGTTGAGGTGGCTTGGGCATCTGTTTAGGATGCCTTCTGGACGCCTCCCTGGTGAGGCGTTCCGGACACGTCCCACCGGAAGGAGGCCCAGAGGAAGACCCAGGACACGCTGGAGGGACTATGTTTCTTGGCTGGCCTGGGAACGCCTCGGGATTCCCCCGGAAGAGCTGGCCCAAGTGGCTGGGGAGAGGGAAGTCTGGGCCTCCCTACTTAGGCTGCTACCCCCGCGACCCGACCCCGGATAAGCGGAAGAAAATGGATGGATGGATGGATTTTTATATAGCTCTAAACCACACAAAAAATTGTGTATGGGCACTTAACAGAAACCTTCACCTAAATAGCAAAACCAATTAGTAAAGTTATCCATCTCAGGTTACACATAAACTAATAAAGTTCAAACTCAGTTCTCTGATAGCTATTTCTATTTCTGGAACATCTGTCAGCCTCTGCCTCCAGCCGGGTCATCCTGCACTCCGGCCAGCACAAGGATTTTAATAGCTCCCCATACAGTGAAAGTAAAAACACAACATTAACACTAAAATCAGAATCTAAGGCAAAACTCTCTACACCACACATGTCAAACTCAAGGTCCGCGGGCCAGAGGTGGCTCACGAGAGCTTAAACGGTCTGATTGTCATATAATAAGTGAAAAGGGTGCACTGACAACAAACTACTACTATATTTCCCATATTGCATGCCAAGCACAGTGCTAAGTCTGCTAAAGTGAGCCTTCAACTCTAATGTTGTTATCTTGAATTTATTAAATGTCTTATTATATTATGTTAAATTTGTAGCAATGTATTTGGGAATGCAGGTTATTATTATTTCATTTTTTAAGTCTTCATTGTAATATGGTGAGTGTTTTGAGTGGTGGGGCGGCGCCCCCTATTGATGAGCTGCCACTGCATACCACAACCTTCAACTAACAGACCCCGCTCTTGGATTATCCCTTCATGGACCATGTACAGCACCTGTCTGCTCCACTGTTGCTGCACACTCTCCATGAGTGAAGTCATCCTCACCAACTCGACAACAGTGTGTTTCACTCTGCAGATGGAGAAGGTTAGTGACAGCCACAGAGACTCACAGAACCTCACCAACAAATACCTATTCACTAACCTCTGTGTCTTAATAGATCGGACTCCCCCTTGGACCCGGACCTCCACCAGCAGCTGTTTTCTAATAAACTGTTTAAACTATTCCTGGTGTTTGGTGTTGTGTGCTGATCCTAGACCCAGTTCTGGTCAATACCAGTCTGAGGAGTCTAACTCAGGTGAAATCAAGCAGGGAAGATAAATGGAAAGTAATTGTGAAATTTAAACAAGAGGGAAGATTTTTCCATCCAATTAAATTAACTAAGAGAATTGAAGAGAAAATTGGGAAAATCAAGTTGGCTAGACTAATGAACAATAGAAAAATTCTTATCCATGCCATAAATAAACAACAGTAGGACAAAATATTGAAAATGACCTCACTAATGGGAGAAGAGATTAAAGCATTCGTTCCAGGTTCTGTGGTCTCTGAGCAGGACACCCAATCCCAAATTGCTCCTCGGGCTCTTACATAGCTGCCCACTGCTCCACCTGTGTGAATCCCAGGTGCGATGGGTTAAATGCAGAGAACCAATTTCGTCTTTGTATGGGAACATACAATGATGACAATACATAGCACTTTATTTATTATTATTATTATTATTATTATTTAAATAGACTAAAAGGAGTACTGTAATTTCAAGGGTACCTGTTGACATGACTATAGAGCAGTGACTCCCAACCAGCTCCTCCTCTGAAAGTTATTTAGAAGTCTGGGAGTCCTTAAACCAGCTCCATGCAACTTCTTCCTTTTAGACTGTGATATTGAGTTTTCTAAATTTATTGCAAATTAATTGACTGAAATGTGTCTGTTCAATCTTGTGTTGTCTTTTTGAGTTTTTTTTTTTTTTTTTTTTGCTGCAGGGCAGTACTCTGGGGCACATATTTTATGTTGTTTAAGTTCAAATATATTGAAATCTCATTTAAGTCATTGTTACTAGAAGCTGAATTGTTTGTTGTTAGAAGCAGTTGTTTGCACTTTTCAGAGAGCATTTTTAATAAACGGCAATATGTCATGATTTTATTCTATCACCACCACAAAAAAAGTTTCAAGCTCAGGATTTTTAATTTTTTCACTTTAAGCCCTGTAAAATGTATCATTACCACCTAAGTTTGCTATCCATCCATCTCCCTAGCCAGCCACCATTCCACTTTTGTCTTCCATGTTTCAGTATGTCCCATTGTCACATTTGTTAGACAGATGTTTTCCCTCCACTTCCATTCTTTTGTAATTTGCTGTAAATCATAGCTTTACCTTACTTGTTTGAGTTCTGTAAACAATGATCTCTTTAACCCTTCTGCTGCCCTTGGGTCAAAATGACACCACGAGCAGCAGGAGGGTTAAATCATCACAATGATGGAATTGATTTAAAGACGATTTTGATTGTAACTATAGACTAACAGCCAAAGAAATACAAGTTAGAAATTGTATTAATTGTAATTTTTATCCATGTTAGTTGGTATCGCTCAAGTCTAATAGTAAACAGGATTGTAATTCATGCAGAAGTCAGGGTTCAGGCTCTCAAAAGTGCAGTCAGATGTATCCATGGTGCAGCGACCACAGCTGCAGCTCAAAGCCATGGGGTAGGTGACAATGGGGTCCACTCCTGGTAGACAGTCAGGAAGCTCAAAGGTCTTGTAGTACATGTCCTGATATGTGCACACATGCTGGTACACTTTGCTGAATCGTATGGCCATGATGGGGTACTGCAAGGAAGCAGAAGTCAAAATGTACTACCAGTATATCATTTTTTTAATCACTATCAGATATCAAATATTTTTAAGCAATTCCAAGCATCAACCATCAAAGACCTAACAAAAACCTTTTCCCCACATAGTAGACTTGAAACACTGATGGTTTGCACTCCATTTAACTTCCATTTTCCTATTTTTTACTTCACTACTCACTTTGGTGAAGCAGTGCCCGCTGCAGATGGTTGTTTCCACTGGATGACACCCGAAACAGCCCTCTTTCTCCAGAGAAATTGTCTGATTGACTAGGTGGCAGATTGGCAACTGGAAGGCAGCTGGTGATAGAAAATGTTCATAAATAAAAAAGAACTATCTTTATTTTAGAAAGATGTGGTGAGAAAACCAAAGTTTTATCAACATTTTCTTTATTTATTCATTTACCTTTAGCCAATTAAAAAGAAGGGTGGGGTTTCTGTTCATTTAAATGTCCCTTCACAACCCTGTATTTTGCTTGCTTGTTTTACACAATGTTAAGAGGTGGTTAAAGTACGAGCTAAGAGTGGGAATGTGGAGATGGAGGTGACAGATTATTCATGTCAGAATGGAAACCTTGCTAAAGGACTAGTTGCATCTACAACTGAGTCTTCAACTTCAGCAATTTTAGGCAAGAAGCCTCTTGTGCCAAAAACTCCCAGTCTACTTTTTCTACTGAGAATACTGGGGCTGATGCTTCATCTTCAACAACCCAGGATAAAGGACTCACTACCATTTTTTATTTTGCAAACTACTGTTCACTTTTTTGTGAAACCCCATCTAACAGCATTCTGCCCATACAGCTGATACCTACAGGAAAACTATGTTCACCTGTGTAGAACACATTTACCTCTGTCTAAATTGCTAAACAAGAAGCACTTTTTAAACTACATGGATTCTGTGCCAAATGGGGTTAAATGGATCTAAGAAATAGAAAATCCACTTCTCTTTCTTGATTGAATGACGTACAAACAAAAAACTGATTATTGTGTGGGGGTGGTGGTGGGGGGTTTAAGGTGATTGACATCTCTTAATATGACATTGTTAATTATTTAGTGTAGAGAAAGTGTAGACTTTATTATCTCTGTGCATTTGTTAATGGTTAGTGTTTAGTTTTTGTACATAAATAAATTTACATAGATAACGCAAGCAAACTGCTTTGCTCAGATTTTTAGGTAGAAATTTATGTAACAGACCGACGTACTTAAAGTTATGGCATGTAGATATGCCAAGTTTAAATTACAGTCATGGAGGTAATGTAGTTAGTCTAACTTGTACAGTTTATTATTTTTTTTTACTCTTAAAATTTATATGGTGAGGCGTTAAAGGTAAATCACAAGACTAAACTCACAGACACCTTAATATTTAATTGAAGTTGTTATTTGCTTACTTTTAATAGAAACCCCCCCCCACACACACACACAAAGATACAGTATCATTCCTTGAAGAAATTCATACAGTATGTCTTGCATTTCAGAGCTTTTGATTAAGATCATATTTTGAGGCAAAATTCTGTTTGGATCAAACCTTGAAAATAATGTTAAACATAAAATCATGAAATGTCCTCACAGTTTGTGTTGGGGTTGAGCCTCAGCTATTATTTCAAGTTTTAGATCAATATCTGTAAAACAGACTGAGGAATTTATGTGTTGGCTAATGTGAATTAGCTGTGGCAGGATCAAATTGGATTGACTCCAAAATTTAATCAGGTATTGGGTATTTGCACATAAAAAATTAAAAAAAATTAAGTTTTATATAAAAAAATATATATGTCTGTGCTTTAAGAGCTATTTTGCTAACAGACAAATGTGGCTTACATTAAGAGTTGTTAATGTTTCAGTAACGGTCTTAGCCCTTAAAGTATGTCTTGTGAATTATGCTCAGTTGCAGCCGCCCCCAGTTTCAGCTAAATGTCTGTAAAATTCACTGAATTATAGCCAGGTTTGTTTTCTAAGGTCACTTAGTTGTAGTGGCCATCTTGAATCAGGTTAAGCTCCAAAAAGTTAATCAGTTGTAGATACCACCAATCCACATTCATTCATTACCTTCATAATTTTAAGATTAAATAAAATGTATCCAGTGGTCCATTAGATATTTAGCTGATAGAGACACAAGAACACACGTGGCAACATGCAAACAACATTGCCAGGAAATTTGAGTGAAAGTAATTTAAAATTCTTTCTTGCCGTTTGAACATAAATTGTTATTTTACCTGCTGGAGTCAGAATCCAGGTGAAAGAAGAGGCTCCTAGAATTAAACTCAGCATCAGGGGGAACATTGCTGCACAGATCTGAGCCATCATCTTGTGGGAGACACAATGAACAGTTACTCCTAACATTTGTTCTGCTCTTGTATATGTTTTCTATGTATAGCTGAGGTCAATAATAAAATATTAAACTTGGTAATAATGCCAGTTCAGCTGTAATTTACCTTTCAGGAGTCTGCAGGTGGGGTGAGTAGGTGAACTGCTTTGCTGTGGTTTTATACAGAACACGAGTCTAAGAGTGAACCTGCTCAGACTGGAGGTCACACCACTTCAATACTAATTACCTGCTTTTGATATAAAGGTGGAACATTGTTTAGATCCTAACTTATCCAGGGGATTATCTTGTCATTTAATCAGTTCTACATCCTGTTACACTCGAGCTTCAGGATTAGGAGCAGTGCCTTGTTCAAGGCCACTGTCAATAGTAGATGGGATGAGTGCTGTCAAAATATTGTTTATTTGGCCTAATTTATTTTGTAGACTTGTAAAGAAGAATATACTTTGGTGCTTGAAAGTTTTTGAACTCTTTACAATTTTCAATATTTCTGCATAAATTTGACCTAAAACATCATCAGATTTTCACACAAGTCCTAAATGTAGATAAAGAGAACCCAGTTAAACAAATGAGACAAAATATTATACTTGGTCATTTATTTATTGAGGAAAATGATCCAATATTACATATTTGTGAGAGGTCAAAGTTTGTAAACCTCTAGGATTAGCTGTTAATTTGAAGGTGAAATTACTTTGTAGAGTCAGGTGTTTTCAATCAATGGATGATGATCAGGTGTGAGTGGAAACCCTGCTTGATTTAAAGAACGGGATTTATCATAGTCTGCTCTTCACAACATGTTTGTGGAAGTGGATCATGGAGGAACAAAGGAGATTCCTGAGGACCTCAGAAAAAGAGTTGTTGATGCTCATCAGGATGGAAAAGGTTACAAAACTATCAGTAAAGAGTTTGGACTCCACCAATCAGTCAGACAGATTGTGTACGAATGTGGAAGAATTGTGGAGGAAATTCAAGACCATTGTTACCCTTCCCAGGAGTGGTGGACCAACAAAGATCACTCCAAGATCAAGGCGTGGAATAGTCAGTGAGGTCACAAAGGACCCCAGGATAACTTCTAAACAACTGAAGGTCTCTCTCACATTGACTGATGTTAATGTTCATGAGTCCACCATCAGGAGAACTCTGAACAACAATGGTGGTCATGGCAGGGTTGAAGGAGAAAGACACTGCTCTCCAAAAAGAACATGGCTGCTTATCTGCAGTTTGCTAAAGATCACGTAGACAAACCAGAAGGTTGTTGGAAGAATGTTTTGTGAATGGATGAGACCAAAATAGAACTTTTTGATTTCAATGAAAAGTTTTATGTTTGGAGAAATGAAAACACTTTATTCCTACATAAGAACCTTATACTGTATGTGAAACATTGTAGTGGTAATATCATGGTTTGGGCCTGTTTTGCTGTTTTATTTCCTTGGCTTGGATTTTGACCCTGGTACCATCTATATATCGGAGCCAGTGGCTTGGCGTTGTTCCCTCATAGGAGTTTAGGGCTCTCTGTTCCACATCCTCCATGTAGTAATTGGCAACAATGGGTAACACTGGAGGGGCAGCACGGTGGCACAACTGGTAGAGCTGCTGCCTCTCAGCGCACAGGTCCCTGGTTCAAATCTCGGTCTGGGGGATTTTCTGAGTGGAGTTTGCATGTACTCTCCGTGCATGTGTGGGTTTTCTCCGGGTACTCCAGTTTCCTCCCACAGACCAAAAACATGCATGTTAGGCTGATTGGTAACTCTAAATTGTCCCTAGGTGTGAGTGAGAAAGTGAATAGTTGTTTGTGTCATTGGTCTCTATGTGGCCCTGTGATGGACTGGAGACCTGTCCAGGGTGTACCCTGCCCCTCGCACAATGATTGCCGGACATTGGCACCAGCGACCCCCGTGACCCAAAATGGAAGAAGCGGGTAAAAGATAATGGATGGATGGATGACACTGGAGATCCCATGGCACAACCATGCTTCTGTCTGTAAAAACTGTCATTGAACTTGAAAGAAGTGGTGGAAAGGCAGAGATCCACCACCAGATGATCCCTGGGTCAAAATCCAAGCCAAGGAAATAGAAGCGTTCACCAGACACATCAACTCGGTTGATAACAACATCAAGTTCACCAGAGAGGATGCAAACGACACCAAGCTTCCTTTTTTGGACTGTTTGGTTCAGATGGAAAGAGAGGACAGCCTCAACATTGAAGTTTACAGAAAACCAACCCACACAGACCAGTATCTTCTGTTTGACTCTCACCATCCACTGGAACACAAACTCTCTGTCATCAGAACTTTACAGCATTGGGCCGAACGCGTCCCCACGAAGACAGAAGGGAAGGAAAAGGAACAGAAACACATTCAAGAAGCTCTTCAAACATGTGGATATCCTAACTGGGCTTTTGTCAAGTCAGCGAGGAAATCTACAAAAC